GGGAGTTGCTCTGCTGGGGTCAGCACAGCCATTCTAGGGTCGGAGAACATCTAGGAGGGGCTGAGGAAGTCGTGTGTGATGAACGGCATGGAGGGGGTGTGTGGCTGAGGGGTCCCGCCCCCCACCCTCCCTCCTGTGCCACGGGACCCCTGGACTTCATCCACTGTCCTGCCAGGGCTCCGCCGGGGCGCCTCCCGGGGTCCAGCAGCCCTCAGAACCACCAGGGACCTGCTTGGGCTCTCCTTTCTCAGACGGCCAGGCGCCCTGTGGTTCGTGCGCAGGATGGTGTGGTTCTGTGCCGGCTCTTTGAGGAAAGGGATGTGCTCACCCTCCACTGCCTGGGGCTGCGACCTGGGGCGTCTCTTGCCCATGTGACACCTTTGTATTTTCTTCCTTCCTCGGGATTCCTCCCACTGTTTCTGGGGAGAGGATTTAGAGAGATTTAGCTCAGTTTGAATTGAAGAGCGTTGTTCGGGTGGTTCTGTGCCAAGAACGAGCCTCTTCACGAATAAGGACTGCCCGGGAGCTGCAGGAGGGGCCTGGACGGCACGGGACTGGGCCCCTGGGCCTGCGGGCAGGTGGGCTCACCTGCAGCCTGTGCATCTGCTGGCTCCACAGGTGACCTTGGGGCTGACTTGGCGTCAGTCGCACGGTCTCTTCTCCTGCCTCCTGCATACCAGCACAGTGGGGGCCCCTTCCTTCTCGTGGTAAAAACGGGAACTTCTGAGCTTGGCAAGTGGGGGTGTGCAGGACAGGCTTGGAAGGCTTCCAACTCACATTTCAAAGGAAGGACTGGCCTTGGACCAGCTCCGGGGAGAGAACTCTGAGCCTGGAGCATCCTGTCCTGCCTGATGGCGGTGTCTCTGCACGCCTCGGGCCCCAGCCATGTGAGATCAGTATGACCTCTGGGGGCTGAGGACTGAGTATCGAGGCAGTAGGCACTCCTCGGTGGGCCTCCAGTAAAAACCCTGGATGCCACGGCTCAGGTGAACTTCGTGGGTGGGCAACCCCTGGCACGTGCTGTCACATCATGTCACATTGGTGTGGGACAATTAAACACAGTCCGCCCGGCTCCACTGGGGAGGGGCGGCTGGGTGCTCTCCTGGACTCTGTCCTGTGCACTTTTTAGCTTTACATTAAAAAAAAAAATCTGTCCCTTCTCAAGGCAATAAACTACGGAACAGCTTTTCCGAGTCCTGTGATTCCTTCTGAGGGGGTCTTGGGGACCCTAACACAGGGAGATGATGTCCAGGTGGCTGGGCCTGGAGCCCCCGCATTTTTCTCTATGAGGGACCATTTCTTGTTACCTTCTTACAAACCCGCCATTACCAGGCCGACCTCGGGACCCCGGGACGCATGGCCTTCCCCGAGATGCCCTCTAGCATAGCGGACTCCAGACTGTAATGTTACGCAAAGACTTTTTTGAAGACTCGGGGATAGCCGTGGGAGTAGTAGAGAGACTGGCTCCTAGTTCACAGTCTGGACTTGTTCATTGCAGAGCCTGCCTTCCTGGCTTAGACCCCATCACCCCCCTCCCCAAAGCCCACAGCTGAGTCTCTGTCCTTTTCAAGGTCTGAGCCAAAAGAAAGACAGTTCTAAGCCTCCTTTTCCACCTCCCTGGAGCCCAGCTCCGAGCTGGGGTTTCCTGCTTGCGTTCCAGCCTCCTCCTGGGGCCAGTGTCCCTGGGAAAGACCTCTGATCTCTGTGCCACGAGGCAACACCAGCTGTTATGCACACACGGTAAAGGGCACTGTGGTGGTGGTGACGGGGGCAGGGCCGTGCGTGTCATTGTTTTGAAGAGTGATACTGGGCAAGCTGCTCCTTCTCCAGGCCTTCCAAAGTCACCTGCATTTTCATCTCTTCATTTAATCGACTGTTTACATTCCAAGACTTTTCTCAAGTGTTTACTGAGGTTAGCAGAGTTGATCAACAGATCCTGGTATAAAGCAGGGACTTGGGCTGAATCCAGCTGAGAACTCAGAACTGAAATGAACCACCCCAGCTGGTTAATTCCACCTCAGACGGAATCGCTTTGTGTTTCTATATATAAGCTGAGCCAGCTTTCCCCATATTTCCCAGTGAGAGGACTTTAAAAAAAGTTTTAGTAGTTTGATTACAAAAACTCACATGGAAGTAGATGGAACAAACACATTAAATATAGTGTACAGCTATATTAAATACGTTTTAACATTAACTTTACATTGTATCAGTGAGAGCACTGAGGCACAGAGAAGTTGAGTGACTTGGCCAGAAACACACAGCTCAAATGAAAGTGAAAGAATTGGAATATTAGTCCAGGCAAGCAGTTTAAGGCCCAGAATCCTAACCACTACCCTATTAATTTGATGCATAATGTGTTATAAAATGGATCTATTTAGGAATACCACTTTCCTCTCACAGTTTATGAAACAATTATTAAAATGTTCTACCTGCATTTTCAGTATCAGTGTCCCTGTCACCCCAGAGCACTTTTTGAGCCCCTGTAACAAGTTTTCCAGAGCAGTGCTTCTCAAACTTTATTGCGCATATGAACCACCAAGGAATCCCGTTAAAGCACAGATTCAGATTCCACGTTGCTGACAAGCTCTGGGTCCAGGAGACACCGCTGGTGCAAAGACCACAGAATAAGAAGCCGGTTCTAGGGGTACATTTACTTGATTTGTATTGAAGTTGTCCAAGATGGAGCAGTTTTGAATCTAACATATTAGGACCCTTGATTTCCACCCCCTTCTCCCCCACACAGGTGTTTAATCACGGTCTCTATGACATAACCACCTACTGTTTGGCTATTTAAAGTGATGTTAAAAGACTTATTTATAATGACGCTCAGCATTACAGCTGGGACTAGAGATTGCATCGGTCTAAATGCTTTGGCCAAATGAACTCGCGGTGAGGTCATTTCAAGCTTGTCTGGTTTCCCCAGCCAGAACGTAGCAATTTAAACTCAAGAAATTGTAGTGTGAGAATTTGGAAAAGCATCAACTAAAAAGAAAGAATGCCTTTTTTTCCCCCAAGAGACAGTTTTGGGAAAAATCAATCTCACCAAGTCAGGACTTTGGCTTATGGAACTCAGCTGGGCAAAGCGGTCACT